TTGCTGAAATAATTACGCGACAAGTGAAGTCGAAAAATCTGCAAAACCCAATAGGAAAGATGATGGATTCTACAGAAACTGCTGGAGAACAAAATCGCTCATTTTGATTTTAAGGAGTAATTTCTTTGTTTATTGCTGAAAAAAATTGCAAGAATATTGACCTGACAGGAAAATGGTATAAAACTATACCTGCCAAGCAAAAAAAAAAAAAAAATTTTTTTTTTAAACTGTTGGGTTGCCGGGCTGTCAGGCCAAGAACTTGCTTGATTTTTTTTTTTTTTATTGTTGGGCTGCCCCCAAGCCCCCAAATGTACAATTAGCTTGCTTTCACTACCAATTAGCCAATTTTTTTATTGAAAAACTTTATTGAAGTATATATTTAAAACTTTATTGAAGTTTTTGCAAGTTACAAAGAAAATATTTTTGCGTATTGAAAAATTCCCACATGGTATTGGAAGCAAGCTAATTATATGTTTGGGGGTTTGGGGGCAGTAGAATGTTAGAAAGGTTTCTAATTGGCTACCGGGCACACTGAGTCTGGCAGCCCAACTACTTAAAAAGAAAAATTCAAGCGGTTGATATACCTTGCCCGACAAGCATATTATTATACCACTTCCTTGTTAGGTCAACATTTTTGTGATTTTTTTTTTCAGTAATAAACAAAGGAATTAGCCGATTTTAAGAGACTAAAATTTCACATCAATAAAATGTAAATAACTATTGGTGTCACAGACCCACAAAGGAACTAGAAGATCAAGTCCAAGAGAATCCTTAACATGTACAACTCTATTAAATACAAAATTCGCAAGTTCTTCCATCATAAGTTTGGAAAATAGCACCAATTGTCTCTCACATAATTATTGATGAGAAAATTTAGTCCCCTGGAATGAAAATAAGCAATTTTAATCCATAACAAATAAAAAATAATTAATTTTAGTCTCTAATCATTTTTTAGTTTGAATTTTTGCCAGAGTTAGTCACGTATACAGCATGTGATTAATTTTTAAAAGATGAAAATAGCAAATCACTCTTCACCGTCATCTGCTACTATTATCTCAAACCCTACTTCTGCTCTTTCTACATCTTCTACTAATATATATTTATATAAATTATTTTTTAAAAAATTTATTAAACTAGAGTTGAACCAATCCGATCGATTCAATTAACGTCGAGTTTGTCAGGCCCCTGGGAATTAAGAAAGAATTAACAGAAATGGCTGGCAGGAAGATGACCCAAGAAGAAGAAGAGAGAGAGTGTGACGACCCCACTTCTCCCAAGGGCGAACCCAAGGGTATCGGCGGGCCGCCTGCCTAACTCGCGCCAGGACTCAAACCTTAAAGCGATAAAAACCAGAAAATCCAAAAGAGTACCTTACATACTATATACAAATCCCAAAAAGGTTATAATTACATTCTCCAAAAGTATCGAGTCAAACCACCAAAACAAAAACAAACATCCTAACTGTTCAACTATTACAAGCCAAACTAACTATACTAGTATACGAGCCAAAAGTCCCCGCGTCGGCCCCTGCTAAGGAAAACAAAAGGAATGGGGTAAGCTATATGCTTAGTAAGTAAACAGGGGCGAAAGCATAAATTTCACGTAACAACAGTTACACAGTAAGAGTAAAGCAAAAGCAGAAAAGTAACATCACATAATAAGGATACAGGTGGCTCCAAAGCCAATTCATATGCCATGCGTGATCTCCGACACTCCGTCGACCACACTCAATGGTCCGTAGAACTTCACTTCACACCCCCGACACCTTACACCCTCACTGGCCAGTCACCTCACAAACTTGCCCGGGCGAACGAAATCACAAACTTGAGCTTGAGTCACAAGCTCGGGTCACAAACTTGGTCACCTTCTCGGTGAACCGGATTCACAAAATTGGTTCATAACATGAACCTACAAACTTGGTGACCTCAGACTAAGTTGGACTGCCTTCGACCAAGCCCTAACCGGCTCGAATAGTCCAACCAGGTCAAGAGTTCGCCCCAAACTCACAAACTTCACAAAATTATTCAAAATCACAAACTTTGCAAACTTCACAAACTTTATTCGAAAGTCGCCCCGAGCCACAAGATCAAGGGTTTTGGTTCCAAAAGGTTCATATACATATGCCAAGTACAATTATACATTCAAATTAGGGTTTAGGTCGAGTGCGATAAAGTACACCCTCGCCTAAGTGCCCTTTTCACATATCTCAAACACATAGCAAAGAAAACACACCAAACTGGCCTGAATACTTACCCAAAATACAAAAGTAGTACTAAAGCAAAATCGCTTCGCTCGTGTTCGCTAGTAGTGGGCCCCACCGGCTCCGCCTAGCTCACCATTGTCTGAAATAGAAGATTGTGTCATAATATATCACAAACGGCCACTAACGTACTTAAAACAAGCAAAACGGCAAAATTGGCACGCGCCAGTGCGGAAACGGCAAACGGGACGGCTAGATCTGCCATCTCAAACCGTTTTGGTCAAAAGTTAGGCTAGGAGTGTCGGATCAAGGTGGGTGAGACACCGTTTCGAAGCTAAAAGGAAGAGCTACAACTTTAATTTAGGTATCTCAACCCAGATCTCAATAGGTATAGGTCAAAAATGCACGAAACAGTGCCAGCTGTTTCATTGCGGTTTACCAAACAGGCCCTGTTTGCAAGGCCGTAACTCACGGCTCAGAAATCGAAATCAAGAAATTCCAGAGGCGTTAGAAAGCTGAAATATAAGGCTAAAACTTTGATGTTTTGGCCAAGATCTGAATCCACTCAGAATAGAACGAAAATCGAGTGCCAAAATACCCGTCAGAACTGTCCAGATACAAGGCAGTTCTGACGATCTATATTGTTTGGGTCATAACAGAAGCTACGGAACTCGGATTCCGACGTATTTTATACCGTTTCGAAGCTGAGACCAAGATCTAAATTTCTTATGAAGGAGTCGACACCCAGATCGAATGGGATCAATACGGAAAAACCCACGGTCAGAAACTGAAATTCAAAACGTACACAAACGAACGTCTAAAACAGGCCTGATGGTTTTGTCTATAACTCGGAATACATTAATCCGTTTGACCTGAAATTTTACAGGTAGATTCAGCACTTAAAAGGCTACAACGTTGAAGAAGGCCACTTAACCCAGTTTCGAGTGTAACTAGGTCAAAACTGTAAGATACTAAACCAGAATCGTAAAACAGGTGAACAAACCGCAACCTGGTGCAAACAGCATAACTCAGCCTACTTAAGTTCAAATTCAGAAATTTCAAAGGCATACGAAAGCTTAGAAACAGGGATAGATTTCATCAGAAGACTAGAACAACCAATTCTGAAGTAATCCTATCCAAAATCACCAATTACAAGTGCAGTTCTTACATTCGGACAAAACCAGAACAGCAAGGGTATTTTCGACTTTTCTCACTCTACGCTACTCCGATTGACCTCAAATTTTACAGGCACCTATAAAATGTCATTTCCTACAACTTTCATGTTTTAAGCCAAGGCCAATTCGGCTTATATCTATGACCAAAATATTCGGACAGAATGAAGAACCAAGAAACCCCAATTTTTCCAGATTTCTTCCAAAACAGAAATTACTTGAAATCTTCCACTTTTTCCACCCTCTAGAATCATTATATACCATTTCCAATCATCATAAACAACCACACCATCATAATCCAATTAAACCAGAAAAATCATCATAAAATAGAAAACTTCACCAAATCACTCCAAACCAAGATAAAAACCAGAAATTTCAGCACTTGAATCACCAATAAGCATAACATAAGCATCATTAGGTGTAGTAGGGTGTTTCAAGCCTCACTTACCAAGAAACAAGAGAGAGGAAGATGTTGGTCACCTTAGCTCTTCCAAAAAGCTTCACTAAACAACTTACTAACACTAATAGGAGAGGTTTTATGGAGTAAGTTCAAGATTAAACGGTTAAGTTGTTGATTTGGGCAAGATTAGAGCAAGGAATTGAGAGAGGTTTTTCTTCTTTTGCTTGGAGAGAGAGTCGGCCAAGAGGGAGAAAAGAATGAGGAATTTTTTGGTTATTTTTGGTGATTTATTTGGTCAAAATAGAAAAAGGTGAATAGTGGTCTTATGGTAAGATTAAATCTTATGGTGACACTTGTCACCTTTTATTAAATATCTACCTAACTTTTCTCTCTCATATCAATCCCAAATTGCAACCTCTACTAATTTCTTAACACCCGGTAAATTAAACCCAGTATCCGAAACTTAACCTAATCGGCCGAATTTTTCCGAACTTTTCGCACTAGTGGGTCCCACGTCCGATATACGTTCTTAATTTCTCAAAAACTAACTAATACTAGAAAAATCATCTAAAAACTCTAGTTACTCAATAAAAATTATCTGGGGAATTTTCTAATAAAGAAAATGTAGGAAAACGGGTTTTCAATCTTAACCGGAACTGAGGGTTTACATCTTAATCCCCACTTAGGGTTTTCGAAATACTCCCAAAACCAAACGTTACCGCCCAATTAATGAATATATCAACGTAGAACGAACTGGGGCCTCACAGAGAGAGAGGGAGAGAGCGAGCGAGAGGGAGGGAAAAGACAGAATATTGGATTTTGGAAGAATGATTGCATAAATTTTTTTATCAGATCTCTACACATTTTGGAGTTTTATACATTCCATAAGTCGGTGCCAGTAGCAGTAGCAGTAGTACACTGCATTAGGTTGTGTTTGGATTGCATTTTCCGTCATTTTTCATGGGAAAATTACTATAGCGATTTGATATATGTGAGGAAAAAAGGTGATAGGAAAATTTGATCACGAAAAACGACAATATTTTTCAACGGAAACAAGCAATCCAAGCATGGCCAACTGACTAACTTTTCCAAATTCTGTTACAACTTCCTCTAACCACTTTTGGCTCCACGCGGTAATTGCACTAATAGCCCCTTTCAGTTTTATAGTTTTTCAAGTAAACCCCTGCTCCTACAGAGTTTTAAAACATTGCCTTAACCTACTCTAGAGAGGTCCAGGTGGACCTGCGGAGGAAGCGAACAACAGCTGAACCACCATCGGGTGAAATAGCACTCCTGCCTCGGCAAGACTTCTGTATGGTCTGTGGTTGTTCCTTTTTCTTTACTGATGTTCCTGTGTCGGGCGACGCATCTGTTGTTGTCTGCCTATTGTTCCTTCCTCTCTGAAGTTCCTGTGTCGGTGTCGGTGTCTCTGTTGTCTCTCTCTTCTTTAGTTGCAAGTTGGTATTAGTAAGAGCAAAATGGCAATGACGTTGCGCGTGGTTCTTAACAAAGCCGTGGGTCGTCAACTCAAAGGAGGCAAGCTAGGGTTTTTGGGTGCAATCAGCAGTGGCTGCCAGCACTCCATCGTCGGCCACAATTCTTCACGCTCAAATAACAATAATGATACTCATCTACCTTCCTCGAATTGCTGGTGTCGTCACTACTATTTTCTACCATCTCCTCCGGCCGTAAGAGTTCTCGATTTCCCGACTGTTGCTGGCGTTCGTCGTGTCCACGATGCCGAGACCGACGATAGGGTCAGAAAATTGGGTGAATTTGCAGTCAAGGCTCGCAATCAGGGCTCCGCCCAGGTTTGTGTTGTTTAATTAAAACGAAAAAAGGGTCTTTTTGTTTGTGCTATTTCTTCCTCTTCTTCTTCCTTGTTCCCCTAAACAACTGACAAGTACCCATACTGTGGATGGTTGCTACTGTTGAGTTTGTTTTAGGATGGTGTTGATGGTGGAGTGGAAATTCAGTTTGTGAGGCCGGTGAGAGCAAGCTTTAAGCTTTCGATGGGCCTTATCTACTACATAACGCTCGAGGCACTTCGTGGAAAAGCCGACATGAATGTCTACTATGCGGAAGTTCTCGACTGCCCTGACCAAAATCTGTTGAAATTGATCAAGTGGGAGCAGGTCAATGAGTCATTCTCCTACCCCTTCGAAGAAATAAGGTAAAAAAAAAGTCTTTCTGTGTTGTTCCATATTAAAATAGCCAAACCTTTGGGTATTGTCTTCTCTGCTTCGCTTCAAACTCAAAGGTACGACAGAAGAAGATGAAATTCCAGTGTTTGGCTTTGCTTATTTATGTTATAGTCTGGATTTTTAGTGAAAGAATTTTCTTTTTTAAGAAATTGCTAGATGTCACTATTCTCGTGGCATATTTATGATATTCATGCTTTTATTATGGTTTCTTGAAATCAATGAGAGGTGAAGCGCCTGATGTCATTTCTTCTTTCCCCAGTACAAGCATGTTGATTTTTGTGATATCATTTCTTCTGGACCTTAGTTTTCTTTTGGCATTGGAACCAAAGATCCAAGATTTATTTGGATCCGTAATCCTCCCAATTTTATTGGGGAATTTAATTTTTTTTGGCAATTGGAGAACACATGTTTTTTTGAAATTCCTGGAGTTGAGAGTAATTTAATACCCTTAGACCAAGAAAAGGTCCTAGGTCATTTCATGTGCTTTGGTCATCCTCAAGGATCTGGCTGCTGCACGAGTAGCCATGTTAGACAAATGGATCGTACAGAATAAACGTCTTTCATCTTCAATAACTTTAGCTTTTGAACAAAATAGTAATTTACCATGCACTCCAGCTATTTGACCTGTATTCAACCATCTTGATATTTTCACTATTTGGGATAGCATAGGATAGTTAATACAGAAAAACTGGAGAAGGATGTAATGCTTTATCTCTGTAATTACAGATGGATGCAACCCATCTTCTAATAATCAATCACAAACCCAAGGCCCAAAAAAAGAGAAAAAAAGCCAGGCCACTTGGTCCTTTGGTTCTAATGTAGATTTTGGTTAAAATCAAACAGCAGAGCTTCTGGAGTTAACTAAGTCTTTCTATAAGACAAACGACCTAAGCTTGTTTAATACAAGAGTTAAAAAAAATTATAGATCCCTGTATATAAGTATGTGGGTGTGTGTGTGCGAGTGCGGATGCTTCTTTTGGGGTGCAATGAGTGCATCCCTAATGTATGGGTATGTGGATGGATTTCTATATGCAGCAACAATTTGTGATGGTCTTTTCTTTGCTTCTTGATTCTTGAATGAGTTGTTTAAACTTCAATAAGAATTTTCTGTTTGATTTAGTAGAGTTTATGTAAACTGTTCCTCCTCTAGATTGAGCAAGTTTCTTGAGAAAAAGTACCGACGCGAGAGAGCAGCTGCCAAGAACTATCTGTAAGTGTGGTTGCTGTTTTTGCGAATTCATTATTTATTCATCTATATATGCTCACTCTCCACTGTTATATTTTTGTTTTTGAGGTTCATCATCTGTGTGCCTGTATACCGTAATGTACATTTTGTCCTGTCTCTCTTCTTCACCTACCCCACCTAATTCCTTGGAAAGTCTTTAGAAGCCAGTCTTCGTGTATTGATACTCATGGGACTCTTGAGTGGTGCTCATAATGTGAGATATTTTGAGGGATGTATAATTCATAGCATTTTGGCCATTTTTATGGGCTTCAAATTTTTTCCTTTCATAGTTTAAAGAAATTTGTTATTCTCTGATAGCTTCTTTGTTCTTATTTGAAATTTGTCTCACAAATTGATGACATTTCTTGAAAATGTAGTAGCAAAAGTGATGATGTCATTATGGCAATGATAGGTGACAATAAGAAATTTTGGAGTTTTTTTTCTTTCTTGTTTTGGGTTAGTTTTGCCAGAGGAGCAAACTTTGATGTTTGTGAGATCTAAGCTCTACAAACGATCAAAGTTAAAAAAGTGACTAATTAGGGAAGATCACATGGCAGCTGTAACTATTGATCTCTGTTGTAGTGAACTATCACAAAATCAAGAAGCTTCTTCTGGGATTAAGATGTATGAGAGAAAGTGTTTTGTTTACATGCATTTCTTGATTGTGTTAACTTGTTTCTTGAGAGGAAAACTGTAGTGTGCTTAAGTTGATTGTGGTTTACATTTTGTGAGCTTGAGATGATCTTTCTTGTGCGTGAATTGTCATCTCTTCCTTCTATTTTTTATATGGTCGTACTCTAGTCCCTGAAGTATGCGTTCATTCATATTAACGGATTTTTCATATTGGTGTCTGGTGTTGAATTTTGGAAGAAAAGCAAAGGGCAAGAAATAACAGCTGAAAACAGTTTTTGCTATGTTTTTCTCCTCTTTTCTATCTCTGTGGCTATCTGTCCTACTCCATCACCACCTCCTGTCTTTTTCCTGCTGTCCGCATCCCCTCTTCTTTGCCTTTCTTTTGCTCCTTCCCTGCCCTTTCCCCATTCCCTGCAAGATCTCCACTCTCTGCTCCCTTTCCCGTTCCCTTCTTCCTCTACTTCTGAGCTGGTTTGATAGTAGTATGTTGGATAATGCTGGTCTTGTTGCATAGTAAAGAAAGGAGGTGTTGATACTTGTAGACTGCAGTGCCAATGATTCAGGAAGTTCTGCAAAATGAGTGGAAACTGGATTGGACGACAAGGAGGGGAACGCTGCCACGTAATTGCAGTTTGCTCTTGAGCATTAAGTCATTAGAAACATTGGTTTTTTAAGGATATATATTCGGAGCCTGCATTTCCACATGAAATTTCTTTCCATGATCTGTTTGTTGAACCATCGACAATTGAAAATAACATTTTACAACCTCCTCCCATCCTCTGTTAGTACTTTTCCATGATCTGGTGTATAGGTAGTGGTGATGGTGAGTGTTGTTCACTTACTGCCTGCTAGATCATTTCCATGAGCTGTCCTTTACGGTGTTCTTTAACCAACATTTGCCCCTTAGTGCATTGTTGAAATCAGTGAAGTTCTGATACTCATGATTCCATAGGTCAAAGGGCCAAGAAGTCTTGGTCCAGTCTACAAGAAAATCAGCTCCCCGGTTGGACCGTTGGTGTGAAAACCTCTTACACCCTTGACTATCCTGTTTACTATACTTCTGGGATTGGAATTGGAGAAAGATAATGAGAAGATTACCAATACTTTTCTCGATGACTACCCTCTTATCCAAGTTGCGAAGTTCTGTTCCATTGTTTAAATGACTGCATGCCGTGACTCCTTTGTTTTGTGCTTAGCTCCTAATTTGTTGTTCACCGTAGGAGATTAGAAGAGATTGAAAACTGCAGCTTAATATGTCTGCATGCCATGTACATTGTGGAAAGCTATCAAATAGCTATTTGTTGCATTGTCATAAGCTTGAGTTAGCTTAAGGAAAATAAAGGACTGTTTTGATTGCTTGAATTAGGTATTCTTGTGGTTTACATATACAGTCATCCACAATGAGCATGTGTAAATTGATCAAGTTGCTTCTTTCTGTTGGACATCAGTTATTGAAATAGAACTCCTTTTTTTTCCCATTCTTGTGATGATTCTGCTTATTGCTTCCATTCCATTACATCAGTTTTCCAGCTTACATCATTTGGACTTCTGGAGTTTCATTCAGTATAATCACCAGGAACTTTTGTTGGAGGATGGAATGAGTATATTTTACACTAACATGTAGTGCTTTCATTCTTTTTAGTGGGAGAGCTGGTTTGAGGTGGCCTTGAGGTTTTAGGTTAGAATTGAGAAAATATTACCTGTTTGCTCACATTTAAATTTTTTCCAGTTTTGAACTTCTAAAGAAGTCATAAGCTGTTTTCTAATATCCGAGGAGTGAGGTTTTCCATCTCTGGGATGGGTCATTTCTGAAATGGAATTTCAAGGTATGCCTTTTTCAATTTGGTTTGCAAGAGAGCACAACTTGGAGTAATGACTAGGCCATGTACAGTTTAAAGGTCTGGCTGAACTTCATGTGCTGGGGTTGCCTTTCATGTATAAATATATTGTACAGAGTCTCTGAGAATTTTGGAGCCACGATTGTGCTGGTTGTTAGGGAACTCTATTTGGAGAGACATGTTATTCCCTTGTCATCATTAAATTGTAAAGTTGAACATGCACCTAGGGCTGTTCACTGAGACTGATTTGAGATAAATGTTATCCTTTTTGTATTTATATTCCTGAAATTCCTTTTTTTCTCATATTCGGTTGCTTCCAATCGTAGCTTCTTGTTTATTGTTTTTTATGATTTTTTGCCCCCTCTCAGAGTGAGCACATTGCTTGAAGAACTGGAACTACGATGTAGAATCCCTGAGGGCGCCAAGTAAGTGGGGTTAGCACTGTTTATTTATTTTTTCAACAATGCATGAAATGCTTGCAATTTTGTATGTTAGATGGATTTAATCTTTAGAAGCTGTGTTGTTGCCATCTGGTAAAAGAATTATAGAATAGAAGACAATACTCTGGTTTATGTAATTGATTGAGTGAATAGGTCCACGTAAATTTCTCATGTGTGCCTGGGGCCGGATCGCTGCTTTAGGTTTAGTCAACATGTCATGTAGATAATATAATAGTGGGCCTTGAAGGAGAACATCACAGTTCGTGGATAATTACATGTGTTTGTATGGTTTTGCTCTCCTTCTCTGTTCCTTTTAGCTTTTTCCTTTGCAAGTCATTGTATTTCCTCCCTAGGTCATGGGTATTAAGTAGTAGATTTGGTGGTTATGAAATGGATTTTTACTTATTTTGAGGACATTTGGAGAAAGATGCAAAGCACAGTCTTCATGGAGGTTTTTTTTAATATCCAAATCATTTTCCCCCTTTTTGATTTTAAAGTGGGACTGGACGAGTCATGTATTGTCTGTTTTGTTCATCCGTGCTACGTTACTACTACACACATGTTGCATGAAAGTTATGGAGCAACAACCAACCTTTCTGTACATTTTTGTGACTGCAATGATGCAATTTAGCAATGGTATGTTAGTCATCAAACTCTGGGGTTCTGGCAGTGAGGAGATTTAACGGAGTTTGATAAAGCGCTCCTGGAGCAATAGTGAAGGAGATTTATGAATAAGCAGGGTGCGCTATGCGTAGAAGAGTCATCAGCCAGTATATTGTTGTGGATCAAGGCCCATAACAATGAAGCTTTGAACTTCTCACGCAGAATTCCTGTCTCTCGGGGATGGAAATAAAAGTAAAAATGGACTTTTCGATAAGTTAATAATTCTTTAAAACGGTTATAGTTGTCTCAGGTAATAATGAACAATTTTTCTCAACCCGTTTGAAGCACGTTAGTTTCCAGGAGAGAAGGTCAGAAAACTTATGTGCCACAGAAATAAAGCTTTTTTTGCTTTGGAAGCTGTGCGTGAAAACATGTTAACATGTGACATGTCTGGCATGGAAGAAAGATTTGCAAAGAGCCAGATTTTGTGTCTTAGCGGTAGATGCATTATCAGTCCTCTGCACAGCTTAATTAGTCAGGAATGGGGCATTTTGATTTAGTCGCCTTTTTAGGTTTGCTTTTGGTTGGAATGTGCTAAAACATATGGTCTCTGTACATGCACGCTTGTAGCAGTATGTACCATTACTTCATTCATTATGTCTAATCATTAGTGAAACTATTGCATTTTCAGCAGATATTCTGAAGCAAAATTCCAACAAAATTGGGGACCTGGGATGCTGAACATTGATGATGGTCCACCTACTCCACCTGAAACTTTTTATCTTTGGGCTACTTTCACCCTCGGTATCGTCCCAGTTTTTGACATTAAAACTTATGAAATGGTCTACGAGTATGCTATGTTTGCAATAGGGGCTCAATTTAAGAATGAGGTCACTCTCTTGTCTCTCTTAAGAATGGTTATGCGTTTTGTCTAACTAATGTAATGCTCTAAGCTTGTGTATGGGCAGCTGCCCAATTTATTTTTTTCCTTTTATTAATATGTGAGATTTAGTGAGAGTTTATAATTGATGCTATCATTGTGGTAGGATGAGCGAGTTCACCTTAAGGACGTGTTGTGGGCAAGCAAATCCAAGGACAATAATGGCTGGGTCTATCATATAGTTTTAGAAGCTATAAATGGGAAAAGCGAGCTGGACTTTTACTATGCCATAGTTAAAGCATCCCCCATGAGGCAGTTAGAGTTGATCAAATGGCATCAGATTGGTGAATCTTTGCGCTGCCCTGATGAGGAAGAGGTATTTATTCGCAAGTCACCCTTATATACGTTTGCATGTTCTCTGCAATGTTGTCTTCATTTAACATTCTCAAGGATACGACTGAACCTGAATCCAGAAGTAGGTTTTTGTTTGTTAAAGGTTTTGAACTGATATCCATACTGTAGTATTATCTTCACGCTTAAAATTGTCTTTAGATGAAAACAAATCCTATTTATCCAATCTAGCTGGGCATCTTGTCGAGAAGGGAGAAGTATAATGTTTATGAAACTTGTTGTTTTTGTTACTTTTGTTTATAATATAAACTAGATATCTTTTTTGCCTTTCTTTTTAGAATAAATCTTATTTGCACTGACAGCGTATACACTATCACAGTTGGATGTACGACACATGTACAAAATTTGGATTTCAAATTCAAATTCAAATTATGTGTCGTCCATCTAATGGTGAAAGTATATACACTGTCAATTTATAGAAGATTAATTATTCTTTTTAAGAAAGATTTGCTCACTAGATGGCCTGTTAAATACTTTTTTCGTTTAATCTCATCTGCGTACATGTATGATGATCTTCCATTGCAATTCAATACATGAAGAAGACAATTTTCTTATATCAAGCCCACTTCCAATAAGTCTGTTTTCCTCCTTTAGTCTGATAATTTGGTTCTTGAGAAACGATATACAATTCGCTATTCTGCCTTGGAGAATGGGTTACATTCATAATGTAATCTCTGCTGCTAATCTCCCTACTTCCCAATGAGTTGAGATTCAGTGTTTTAATCAGCGGCGCAGTTTTGGGTAAAAAGCATAGTCAGTAATTTTCTGCTACTGTATTTTGTTGCGAAGAATGATATATACGCACTCAGCAAGTTGAATAAATGCGCATTAGACGTTATCTGGCATAAAATTCACATGATTTCAAGGTTGCTTTTTTCTCTTCATTGTCATTTCTTGGCAAATGTTGCTCGCCCGATAAAATTTAGCTAACTACTGCAAGTAAGGTGGAACTCGGAACTCATACGATTGATTCTTGTTTGTGGACAGGAGAAAAGATTTGATGAACCGAATTATGAACCCCCGCCTATACTTGCGGAGACACCGGAAATATATGATTAGAATTGTATTGTACCGCCGTGCCACTGGATTCTACTGTATAATCAGCAGTGCATGTGTAAGTTTGGCAATGTATTTTCTTTCATTTACAATGTTTATCTAATCACGTCTTAATTATATTTACCTAATCTTGTGATGCTCTGAAAGTGCATGGCCAACTTCGCGAGTCTTGTACACCTTCCTAGCCCCTCCCCAACCCCATCAAGGGTCTTCAGGACCAGGGGCAAGGGTCGTCAAAAAAGGAATTAGCACGGGTAATGCGATACTTGTGACATTAGCCCCTAGTCCCTTCATGTCCCCCTCAGGAAGGTACTGAGGATCACGTTTGTATTCAAGAATATGACAACTAGGAGCTTAGCACAGCCTAGGCCCCGGTAGTGATGAAATCAAATGAATAGAAAGATGCTTTTTCCTCTATTTAGGATAAATAAAAATCTGTTATATTTTTCGTATAAGATTAACAGTAATATTTGTAAAATATCATTCCTAAAATCATAAATTACCAATCAAGCATGTGCTTAACAATATAAGACCAAGCCAAACTAGAAAATCATTAGCATTGTAGAAGATAACAGAAGATTGGCAAGTAGTTTTACAAACAATTGTCTTCAAGTGCAAGTTAGTCTTCCAGGGATGGAAAATGACATGTTGATTGTCTAATATGAAGTGCAATGATAAGTTACAATTACTAAATATCAAATATTGAGATCCATTAAGTTGTGCGATAGGATAGATTCGTAATGGATGTCAATATTGTGTCAAAAGATGCAAGATTAGCAATTCAGCTGTAAAGTGCCAACAAATGATTAATGAAAAGTGTTGATTTTTTTGGGGGCATAAATTAAAAAATGACCTCTTGGTGTTATAAAAAATGCTTGCAAGAAATTTTGTATTGAAATTTAAAATAATTTTATATAATTCATTCATTAACTCACTTTTTATAGTGAATACAAGTAACAAATTAACAGAATATTCAACTAACAATTATCTGAAAAAATCTTAACAAAACATAATTTTCAACTAGAAAATCTTAAGTAAAATATTTGTCAACATATTGAGCTCTAGTTAATAAATATTTTTATTCTTCTGCTAACTAAATTATTCTAATACTAAACATAATTTGGCAAAATTTGTAGGAAAAGTTAGCATATCTCAACACTCCTGTTTGCCACTTTTGCGTCAGATTTTGAATTATCTTCTCAAATTTTTTAATCTCGTTTTGGACAAGATTTTTGTAAGAAACTCTGCAACTGATAATTAGGCTTGCAATGAACTTCTTCTTTTAGATTTTTATGCAAGCTAAAGATTAATCTTGCAACCAACCACTTCTTTTGCCTTCTCATGCCAAATTTCAAATAAAAGATGATTTTTTTTATGTTTCCAAATAACCTTCTCATAAGTTTTAAGTGGAACACCCTTCGATGATATTTGAACTTGTCCAGAGAATATGAAATTCTGAATGATTCGTCATAAATTTGTTATCACCATCAAAACCTGTAGATTTAAAAACATCAATATTATAATTTTGATAAATATCAGGAATTAATTTGATACCTCCTGAATCATCAATGATCTCCTCCTGAATTTTCTTCAGGATTTAAATTCTTGATTTCATTATGATTCATTTCAGAATTGTCAAAATTCGACTAATTTATAGTGAAACTTTTTCTTTTCATGTTAATTGAGAATAATTTAATCTCAATCAAATCATTAGCCATTATCCCTGTGAAAATGGCATCAAATGATATGTGAATGCTGACTTTAGATCTCTATCTAACTGCAACTCTGTGGTATCTAATTTGTGTATCCATCAATTTTTCAAATATTGACAATGCAAAATTTATCTCCGTCATATCTTGTAGATCATTGACTACCAAACAAGTCGAAAATTTAATGGCCCAAATTTTGTAAGTTTCACCACTAAAAGTTAAAATGTTTGACAAAAAGTTCATTCTTTTCATGATTTTGAACTTATAAAAGATTCTCACTAATGCACTCACTTTCAAAAAACACAGGCCTTCAGATATAGGCTCTTGATATCACTTTATTATTTTTTTTGGGTATAAACTAAGAAATAATAATTTAGTGTTGCAAAAAAAACTTATAAGAGAGTTGCATTGAAATTGAAAATAAGTTTATGTTATTCATTCATCAACTCACTATAAATTATAGTGATTACAAGCAACAAACTAATAGATTCAATGGGTTAGGATATTTTTATACAAGTTGACCCTTGCTGCGGAGACTTCACTTTTCTTTCTAATAGATTCAAGTCAGCTTGCCGTTCCTCGTCATTTGCCTCACATAAGCCGCCATCTGAGGACTTGGAGTGAGGAACTCAACTGGGAGTACGGTCTTGGATCCATAAGTTAGGAAAAAAAGGTGTTTCTTGAGTCATCGATCTTGGGGTAGTTTGATAGATCCATCGGATGCTTGGTAATTCATCCATCCGAGATGTTCCAACTCGATGTAGGTGTGTCTTGAGGGCATCCAAAAGGGTTCTATTGAAATTTTCAGTTTGTCCATTAGCTTGCAGATGGTCTATCAAGATGAAATTTGTTTAATGTTAAGATCGTCACACCATTTCTTGAACGAGTTGTCAGCAAATTATTATCGATTGTTTGAGATAACAACCCGGGGTACACTAAATAGACAGATTACATTCTTCCCAAAGAATTTCTAGACAGCTCAACCTGTTATGACGCTCAATGGTTCGGTCTCTACCCATTTGATAAAATAGTCGATAGCCACTACTAGATAAGTGTGGTTACCCGAGACCCTAGACAGGGGTCTGACTATGTCTATTCCCCACTGCTCAAAAGATCATAAGAACGTTATAGGCACCCTGGGATTAGCAAGCTAATGGTGCTCGGGGATATGAAATTGGTAAGAAGGATAGCTTAGTACAAAGATTTGGAAATTCCGTTAAATCATTGGCCAGAAATACATGTGCAATATGATTTTTTTAGCCGACATCCGAACTCCGATGTGAGACCCACAGAGTCCTTCGTGAATATCTTTGAGTATTTGCCCTCTTATTTTTGTGGAGATGCACCTCAGCCATTGCCCGATATAGGATCTCTTGTACAACGATCCATTCTGTAAGGCATATTGAGCCGATTGGCGTTGGATTCTCTTTACCTCGGATTGATTCTCGTGCAGAATTCTTTGGTCCAGAAACCTAGCAATGAGATCCATCCAATTTTATTTTTTAGGTGTACGGGATGTACTGTTTCCTCATGGTACCCGAGCTTAGTTAGGATTTCGAGTAAGACCGTTTTGTTTAACTAAAAAAATGAGGTGGAGGCTAACTTGGAGAGGGCATGTGCTCATTTATTTTGGGATCGAGGTATGCAATGGATCTTTAACGATTCAAAAAGATTAGCCAGTCTCTTAACTCGAGAAAGATACCTCTGCATGGTCTCTTCTCTAGCCTCAAATTCTCCCTGGACTTGTCGAACCACCAGTTGAGAGTCGCAATACACTCGAATATGCCGAGCTCCCAATTTTCAGAACAAACACAAACTGGCTATCAGCACTTCATATTCGGCATCATTGTTAGAGGTTGGAAAATCAAAACGCAAGGTATATGAGCACACTTTCCCATTGGATCCAACAAGAAGTAGTCCGGCCATACTGCCTTCATTATTAGAAGATCCGTCCACATAAAGAGCCCAAGGTAAGGGCGTCAAAACTTCATGGGGAGTGTTTGGTTCACCATGGGAGTGAACTCGGCTGAAAAAATTGGCTAAGGTTTGTGCTTTGATTGCAATTCGAAGTTCCTAGGTTAGATCGTACTCTCCCAACTCAATGACTTATTTCGTTAGCCACCCCAAAACCTAAGGTCGGATTAAGAACTGACATATAGGCTGATCCGTTCGGACATAGACTGGATGAGTGAGAAAGCAATGTTTCAACCATCGAGCAGCATGCACTAAGTAAAAGACCAATTTTTTTCACCTGTGGGTATTACGTCTCGAGCCCCCAAAGGGCTTGGCTGACGTAATAAACCAGCCGCTGGAGCCCTTCCTCCTGCACCAACACCGTGCTGACAGCTTTCTTAGTTGAGATGAGATAAATGTAGAAAATCTCCCTTGGTCTAGGCGAGGTAAGAGTTAGAAGGTGATGGAGGTAGTTTTTCATTTGGTCAAAGACTTGTTGACGTTCCTCGTCCAAGAGAATTTCTCCGCCTTCTTCAAAATCTTAAAGAAAGAGTAATTCCTTTTGAACAGATCGGGAGAGAAGTCAGCTTAATGCAGTAAGCTGTCTTGTCAATCTCTGGATCTCGTGGAAGTTGGCAGAAGCTGCCATCTCTTGGATTGCCCTAACCTTGTCGAGGTTAGGTTCAATACCTTGGCGGGATATCAGATATCCCAAGAACTTTTTCGAAATGATCCCGAATATGCACTTTTTAGGGTTAAGCATAATCTTGCTTTCTCGTAAGATCCCGACGATCTCTTGTATGTCTGAGAGAAAGACATCAGTGGTATTACTCTTAATAAGGATATCATCGACATAAACTTTCATGTTCCACCCGTTTTGGTCATGAAAGATTTGATTAACAAGATGTTAATATGTGGCGCCGATATTGTTTAATCCAAAGGGCATAGTTGTGTAGCAGCAGACGTCTCGATCGGTGATAAAAGCCATTTTCTCCTGATATTCCTCACTCATCCCTATCTGATGATAATCTCTAAAAGCATCTATGAATTATAGGATCTCATGACCTGTAACCGAGTTGACCAAAACATTTATTCTTAGCAAGGGATAGCAATCTTTCACGCAAGCTTTGTTGAGATCGGTACAATTCACACACATTCATCATCCTTCTTCCTCTCTGTTAACCATAATCGCGTTGAAAAATTAGATTAGGTATTAGACCTCTTTTATCATTCGGGTCAGGAGGAGTTTATCCATCATTCCGGCATAAAAAAATAAGATTTAAATCAATTTTTTATGAAGCCTTATTCACCATTTACGGCGATTCTTAAAGTGGAACCCGACTGCAAGCAACACCACACCATTTTTGTGATGTTTTCTTGTTTTCACATTATTCTGAGAAATTTGCGGTATTTATAGTGAATAGACTTCTCAATACAATATTTCACCTTGATCAGTAAATTCAAGCCCGCTGCCTTGTC